TCAAGGAAGTACTAACATAAGTGCAGAGGTACCTGCTTAAAACGAAGACGGCGGAGAACAAAACCAGGCCGACGTGGTACGCGGCTACTGAACTTTGACCCGCCCGTGCGCCACAGACGCCCGGTGTCGTCGCGCGGTTGTTGAAAGGATGCGCCGAGCGCCGGATGGACAGTCAGATACTGTTTAATGTGTGTGTGTGGGGGGGGGGGGAAGAAAGATAAACCTGCCGCAACTACAATTCTTCTCTTGCCCATATGGGACGGGTTAGAATGTCGGCGCCTAAGCCTTCGGTGGTGTTCATGGGGGTAGGGCGGGGTGAGGGGAGGCGTAGTAATACGAAACAAAATGCTGAATTTATTTTCGTGTCCCTCTGCATGCACAGAAGGTAAGGGATGTTTGATGTTTCCGGCACTTGATTAACAGGAGATGATAATAAGGAAGTCCAACGATAACCGATTGGTAGGAGTCTAGGACTCATTCTGGTATGATTGAGATAATTATGTCATGTGTGATTGACGAGGTGATGGTTGATATCAAGGTGAAGTAAAATAACACCTTTTGATGAAATGGGTTCATGTTTTGGGCAAACCTTGGCACACAGTGACAACAGCACAGACGTGCTTCAATGAAAGAGAATGGGGGTTTGCCTCGAGTCCAATAACGATTGGCGTTTGCCATGTCGATCGTCGTCCGCGATGTGCGGGTACTGTAATATTAAAAAAACGAAACCAGCCCACTGATGTTATCTTTTTAGAATAAGAAGTACCAACTCAATGAATCTCATCAATTTTCACATCAGAATTCGAAACGGGAAACAGCGAAACGGCCTTAGGTAGGTGCTGTGATGCTAATCAAACCATGGACTGCTTTTCTCCCCCTCAGAATATTCCAAAGCCACAAAGCTGTATGCCGGTTCATTTGATGCTCAAGAAGCGTTCCTGAAAATATAAACCATCTGGGTGCCTCCGGTTACCCGCCGAAATTGAATGAACAGTGCCGAATTTGATTGTTACTGTTGCTTAAGAGCGTGCGCTACCTCTAAATCTGTGCTGGCGCAGCTGATTCTACTTGCGCTATCGCCGAAAATGGAGCATATTGCCGCTGTGCCGAAATTGAATGCTTTACCGCCGACTGCCTGACCTGAGCCGAGATATTATGCGATTCTTATACATAATATTGCGGTATGCCTACACACATTTCGTTAGTTCTAAAATGGTCGATTACGCACCGAATTTAACTGACAAAAGGTGTATACCTAAATGCGGTTGGCTCATGGCTGGCGCCCGAGGGCGCCCTCCAACCACATTACCTAAACACAGAAGGAATCAGCAGAGCTTGAGGAAACCAGCAATAGCAAAAACAAGTCGATATCTAGTAATTTGCCAATGCCAAACCCTGATAATCCCTGATAAAGATTCCCTTACTACTCTTTAAACGGAAGGAAAGTATTTTCCTCCATCGAGAGAAATACTTTGTGATAAAATGACGTCATGCTTCCAAGTCTTAATATAGAGCCCTGCGAAAGTGAAACCTTGAAGCGCGGCAAAATAATCGTAAACAAGTTTTGTCAGTTTGTTTGAAACGGTTGTGATTTATGTGTCGGAAGCTGGCTCTTTATTACTTTTCAGGGATTATCATTGAAGTACCAAATTCAGGTGAGTTAGTGTTGTCTGGGTATCCTCTGAATCTCTCGCTCTACCTTCATTTGCTCTCGCATGCCAATCAGCAGAAATGCGCGGATGTGGCTGTACTGCCCGGCGACGGGCGACTGGCAGTCCGACAATTGATTATTTTATCATTATTGTCGTACATAATCGGTAACGTGTGTAGATAATTAATGTGCAATGTCGATATTGCACAAGAAGTCAAATGTTATATCACCTGTGTTCATCCTTGGTAACACAAGCAAGGCGGTAAATGTCAAGTCAGTCCTAAGAAGAGCTCAACGATATTTTTTTCATATTATTTCATTATTTGATATCCTGGTAAAACTTCAGATATCCTGAATCTAGAAATAAGGCTACATGTCTCACCAACAAAAAACAATTAACCAAAGCACCAATTCCTCACTTCCTCGCAAAATGTCACACATAAAACATGTGCGGAAAACCATCGCTGTTGCAGTGCTTGCTTTATGAAAAATATGAGAAATGGAAATGAAATGAATAAATAGTATTAAGATAGAATATGGAACAAAATAACATATTTGAATAATAAAAAATTAAGGTAAAAATATTTACATTCTACAAACAAAAAATATTACCGCACGCATCAGTGTGCGGTGCCCGTGAACACCCCTCTGGAGTTTAGTTGCATCCCTGGGGTGTTTGAAGTGACCACGGTGAAGTGACCACCCCACCTTAACATCAGTTTTGAGTTGAGATAGCCAAATTGGGGTCCCTGGCTTGCAATTACCAGTTACTGGTTAGGGCACTCCCAACATCAATAATTGCTTTGATTCAGATATATTTTATTTCAAACTTGCAGTTTTACATTCTAAGGGGCTAATGTATTTGAATACCCCCTTAGAATTTGTGATGTCGGCAGAGATCTATTGATTTTTAAATTTAATACTAAAACCATCATAAAAACATGGTGGTATATACTGCTTTACACGCAATATCTGGCCGCACCTTTACGATGCCAAGTTATTGTTTCCAAATGACGTCCCTGAATTCAAGGTAAATTTTTTATCTATGTGTATTGTGTAACTGAGTCAATCTGACCCTCACCCACTATCAAATTCCTCGGAGTGATCATCGACCCGTGTCTGACATGGGATATCAACATAAGCCAAATAGAAGGTACAATGCTCTTCTGATATCTCTTTTTCCAAGTTTCACCACCACTTCGACCTGGAAGCAATTAAATTAGTAATCGACACGCACGTTTTCCCAAACATCCCCTATTGCGTTTCGGTATGGGGCGGAACCAACCAGAACACAAGTTTGTGTGAACTTGTATCACCCTTTTAACTCTCGTAATGTTCTAGTTTATCATAGTGCGTGCGGTGTATTTTTATTGTAGTCTTTCAGTTTCATCCATTGTATTTCACCATTAAATGTTGTATTGTATCCCGGCTCGCTCATGATCAGTTGCTGTCGTCTTATTTTTATTCCTGCCCTGTCGTTCTTCTTACACTGTATAAGACGCTAGTCCTGAAAACCATGTTCTGTGGATGGATACATACTGCATACATAAATACAGGGCTGCGGAGTCGATGGATTTTAGGGTGACTCCGACTCCGACTTCGACTCCGGCTTCAAAAATCGACTCCGACTCCTACTCCAACTCAGACTCCGACTTCGGACGGTTCTATGAATACCCATATCATGATATTGAAGTTCATAATGGAGATATTTTTATCTTGCCTGAAACGATCCCATGTTGGTTTCAAAGGCTTCAATGCATTAAAAATAACATGCAGATTTAAAAAGAAGGTTCTGGGGCATTCACCGTCTTCTGCTTCTTTCGATTAAAGGGACCCTCCCACCTTAACATTAGTTTTGAGTTGAGATAGCCAAATTGGTGGCCATGGCCTGAAAATACCGGTTTGGGCACTCACAACATCGAAAAATGCTTTAATTCGGAGATATGGAATTTCAAACTTGCAGTTTTCGGATTCTAAGGGGCTAATGCATTGGTATGCCCCCTTAGAATTTGTGACGTCAGCGGAGGTCTAACGATTTTTAAATCTTTTACTAAAACGTTTGGTAGCACGCGGTGGTATATGCTACTTTGCGCGCAACAAATGCCGCACTTTCAAATAAAGTCGCTAGGAACAGCGGAGATCCTAGAAAGTAAACAATAGTAAAAGTCTAATATCTTGAAAACCGGTGAATATTTTTCGATGAAATTTGGTAGATATTCGTTTTCGCTCTTCCTGAACCGAGCGACATCACTTTCATGCCAATTCATTAACTTTTTTGAAGGTGGGATGGTCCCTTTAAAACGTTCGTCCAAAACAGAAAAATGACCTATTTTCGACAAAATCTAATTTCGAGTGCAGTATCGTCAATCAAACAGGTGCAGTGCATGACGTTGAGCCATGCAGCGTTAACTCTGACTCCGGAGTCGGGCGACTCCGACTCCGACTCCGGGCAGAACTGTCGACTCCGACCGATTCCAACTCCGACTCCGACTCCGACTCCGACTCCGCAGCCCTGCTGATGAATACATAGGTACATACATTGTAGGAACGGCGGAGGTACCAAAAAGGAAATAACAGTAAAAGTCTAATATCTTTGAAAACCAGTGAATATTTTTCCATGAAATTTGGCTATTCATTTTTGATCTTTCTAAACCACGGAACATCAATGTTATGGCAATTTATCAACTTTTTTTGAAGATGGGATTGGGAGGGCTCCTTTTAAGTGGATTTGCCTTTTCAAGTTGATATATGATTTTGGCTCGTAACTATAAGCTAAGGCTGCTTTTGGTCCATCCCCAGATCAAGTAAGTACAATACCGGTATAGTTATTAGTTAGTTATCTGGTAAGCAAAAAGTTGTCAACAACCGTCGTCTGTCGGGCGTCGGCAGCAATGAACTTCATGTTCCCATTTCTTCCGCGCGGTGGCGCTGCTGTCAGTCGCTGTGGTGTGTCTTAGGAAAGACAAGAGCGGTGCAACTCGACAGGTTTAATATGGCATGAATCTGGAGGACTTTTATCTGCACTGGTCAGTTTTCCCGATTTTCCTTCTGTCTGTGTAGTGCGGAGTGTGTTTTATCGCTGCGTTCCACTAAGTTAAAACCTTCTTAAGACATAGTATTAGAGTATTTCTTCTTACAGCTTTACCTATTGTGTACCTACTTACCTACTGCCTTCTAAACCAACGCAGTAGCTAGCCGTCCATTTCCCCTCGTTCTCCCACTTGGGAGAACTGGACTTGGGAGTCTGGACTTGATTTGAACATTTGACTTTTTTTGCGCACCTAGTCGCGAATGTGTTCCTTCGGCCGTCAGTGTTATTCTGCTGAGTGCTGTGCAAAAACTACCATAGCACAGTACCACATCGTTTATTTACACAAGACACTAACTATTTACATATGTAACACAACATCATTAAATAACACTCAGCCTAGCAGGCCCTGTGCGCCCTCGGGGCTGGATACTGCAATCCAGCACAGGGCGTCAAATCAACCTTGCTGCCAGCAGAAGCGACCGCTCACTTTGCTCTCGAAGCCCACCCAACTGCTCGTTGTCGATCTCCGCTCGCTGTACCTACGCACGGCTCTACCTTCTAGCCCTCGCAGTTTGACGGAGCTACGCTAGTTTTGCAGGCCAGTCGCCAGTCCGACCTCGGCGCCAGGTTCCGTTCGTTCTATTCGGTGTCTCGAGACGAGGATAGATTTTGACCAGCGCCAACGGCGGCGCACCGCAGCGACACATAATGTTACAGACGGCCTCGGCGAACAAGAAAGACGTCGGCGTGAAGCGAACCGGGTCGAACTCGACAACTCTAACATAGCGCGGTTAACTACATGGGCGATGTCCGGTCCGGCGGGCCGGCGCTAGACGGATCGGTGGATCTGCAAGCGACACTATTCACGGTTTTCATATGAGCATGCCAGTGCCTGCGAAGCTTGTGGTAGGGCGCTGACCTTCAGAGCAGCCGACTGCCGTCGTTCCTATTGGCCATTAAAGCTCTCACGCTGCCTAGCCCTCTGATAACTCCTCAGCTCGCCGTTGCCCAGGGCGCCTCCCATCTCTCCGGCGGGGCGCCGGGCTGGCCCGCGCGCGGATACCGCGGCCGCCCCAGCCCGCGGCCGATCGCTCGGCGCCGCCCCCGCTAATACTGTGGGCGGCAGCGGCTCCGCACCGACGCCGGCGCTCTCAGTCGGCGTCGGCCTCTGCAACAGCCTCCTTCGCACGTCGGTTCGGTCGGATCATCATGACTGAGCGCTTCAGCGAGTAGTCCCAGCCGCGCCAGCGGTACCACACGATACCTACGGACAGGGCAGTGGCGTCAGTGAGGGAGACACGTCTCGGCTTTTACTTGAAGATGGCATTGACAGAGCCCAGTGCTCCCCACTATGGACTGTCCACACAGGAGAACACTGGGCTGTCCATGATAGTCACATCCCAAACATATCTGCGTGCGCGCCGGTACCCGGATCCTCACCTTGTCTGGCAATGACGTCGTTGGGGTCGGTGAGGTAGAGGCCGTTGAGACCGCGGCCGCACGAGCGCCACCACCAGCCGCCCTTCAGCATACTCGCGCAGTTGAGGCTCGAGCGATCGTTGTCCCTGCAAAAGGTGCGGTGTCGAACGTCAGCTGGGTCAGAAGGTGACGTGTCACCCATGGGACACACGCGCAGACAGCAACGGTCATCTTTACCCCTTGCGCAATGATCCGAGTTCTTGAGCGTCATCTCCGTCGTACCCGTCGCTGCACCTGACCGCGATGTCCCCAGAGGTCGCCACTGACCTGTCGTACCCGTCGCTGCACCTGACCGCGATGTCCCCAGAGGTCGCCACTGACCTGTCGTACCCGTCGCTGCACCTGACTGCGTTGTCCACAGAGGTCGCCACTGACCTATCGTACCCGTCGCTGCACCTGATCGCGTTGTCCCCAGAGGTCGCCACTGACCTGTCGTACGTGGAGAACGGACTCAGGTTGCTGCCGTACCACGGGTCGTTCATCGAGTCTCCGGCGTTGCCCTCGTATCCGCCGATCTCCAGCTTGTAGTTATCCTTCTCGCCGTGCATCTTGAAGTTGCTGTACTGGGCGTACCTGCCAGACGAAATGTGGAGGACGCTTGTCAGAAGGCAGTCCTTGTTCGGCTTGTTGGACTAGCATCACATTTATGGTTAGGTTTTCGCCGATTGCACCTGTAGTTGTGAAATGTTAAAGCAATTGTTGGAACTTCAATTGTCAATTCATATACCAGCATCGTCAGTGTCCTCTCCTCTCATTTTGATTACAGTTAACTTTTTTATCGCAGAGGCTGGTATTTAGATGCAAGAAACGTCAGCTAAATAGCCAGCGGGATTTGGAGGAATAGCTCACCTAGTCTCTCCATCGAAGTCTTCAAGTTCGATCCTGAGCTGGTAGTCCTCGGTGTTGGTGAGCATGAAGATGTTCTCGTTGCCGAGCCAGAAGGCCTTGGTGGGGTTGCCGAAGCCCTGCTTGTATTCCTCCCACGGCTGGTTGAAGCTCTGCTGGTCGTCCTCGCCGTAGTTGTCTCTCCTCTGGACCACCTAGTAACGGAGAGCAGCGGGAGATGAGGACCGCTCACGAACGATACAGGCGGTCCCTAAACGCATCTATCGATATGAACGGTCCCTATTTTGTCGGGACTGCGAACTGCATGTTTAAAATGGCGAGCGTGTTGTTTCATTTCATGAATTGACATACAGACACTATTATAGTTTTCTCAGCGTTGGTTTCCCGCTCCTTACCGTCCAGCCGCCACCGTCCGTCTCCATGTCGCAGTAGACGCGCAGATACCAGTAGCTGGTGCCGTGGATGCGCAGGTAGTACACGCCAGACTTGTTCAGGCCCTTCTCCCGGAACTCCTCGCACGAGTAACCCTAAGGGCGATGAGGTTACAGTCAGCTGGTAGTGCGATACTTATTTTGATATCCGATGAAGGGTGCATTTCAGCCAATATACATCCTTGAACTCCAGCCTGCAGCCAGATAAAATTCTGTCTGCATTGATGCCTATTTATTCTGAATGACTGACCTATTCCCTTTTCCAACTTAGTGTTAGTAGGTTTGTTCCAACGATAGTTTAACCCCAGCGAGCACAACTGTGCAGCTTTGTTGGTTGCTTAGTTGGTTTGCAACACCACGTTTCCGAGCAGCCCATATTCGGGAGTTGAGCAGACCTCCCAGTCCACGCGGCGGAGCCCGCGTCCGGGGTGCTCACCCCGATGTTGACGTTGTCCTGCTGCTCGCCGCCGGTGATGAAGGTGCTGTTATTGGCGGCCGGCGGCGCGCGGCCCGGGAACACGATACCGTTCGGACGGCCGCGGTTACCGGACCGGGGCACCGGCGTCGCCGTCGTCGACTCGTCCGTCTGCGACGCCGTGTAGTTCTGGAAGGCCTCCAGGAACTGCTGATCCAGCAGGTCGAATGGAGCCTGCGGGCAAAGACATGTCAGTTACCGTACACGTAACCTTTGAAGCGATTTTTTGTCATGTTCTGCTCCTTGATCATTAGATAATTATATATTGAGTCAAAGTATCTGCAGCGAAACGGCTGTCAAACAAATTGATTGTATACTTTGGAGCCCGTTTCAAAGTTAATCATTATGACCAGATCGGTCAGCTCGGCCTACCTATTGAGCGGCCTCACTGACCTCCTTGTCGAGCCTCTCGCGGCTGAGTGGCGCCGTGGAGGTGGTCGGCCGGGTCGGGAAGGCCACCGGGCGGATGTAGCGCTTGGTGTTCTCGGTCGCTCTGCCCTGGCTGAACGCCGTCACCGGCTCGTTCTCGTCTGAGTCGCCGTCGACGGCCCTGGCGCGCGCCGGCGTCGTGTCGACGCGCTTATTGAGCCGCTGCTCCACCATGCCCAGGTTGTCGATGATCTGCTTGGTGCGCTCCTGCAGGTCGCTGTGGATGCTGTTGATGGCGCGCTCCTGTCTGCTCGTGGTGTGAATCAGCTCCTCAGACTTGGGCACCAGGTCGTCGATCGATGACTTGGTGCCGACGACGACGTTCCACACCTCGTCCATCTTGCTGGAGACTTCCATGAGCGGCTCGATCTTGTTGACGAGCAGGTCGAGCTTGGAGCGTCCGGCGACGCCTGAGTCGCTGGTGCGCGGCGGCTCGAGCAGCACGCCCGACACGTCCGACACGGACTTGATGACGGCTGACAGGTTGTCCGACATCTGGCCCATGTGGAAGCTCAGCTTGGTGTCCATCGCCACCACCTTGCCGCGCACCTCGTTGATAGTCTGCACCATCTTCTCGGCGTCCTGTAAGAAGCGGGGGTCGTGTAAGACTCGTCATTTTGCGGAACAGGATGTTTCACTTTTATGGCTCACTTATTGACAACAGAGAACATCGAGGCAAACTAGCATTCCGTTAGCTTTATTTACACTTCGCCATTCATCATGAATCGATGCGGTCGCCAGTGGCAAAACTGGCATACACCCTTTCCTTGAGCGCCGTGGACTTCACCTTCACCAGTTGATGTGAGACGTCCTGCGTCGTGCGGCCCCGTGGCCGAACAGAGCCCCTCTTGCTGGTCGTCTGGGTGGTCCGGCTGGAAGCGCTCGGCTCGACGTCGTCCACGGGCACAACCTCCAGTTCGTCCACGGTGTGCTGGATGCGCTGCAGCCGGCGGTCGAGCGACTGTAGCTGCTGCTCCAGCTGCGCCGGCACCGCGGACGTGGCTCCCGCGGGCACTCCGCCCGAGGGGATCGGACGGCCGGCCACGCGCTCCTCGAGTCTCTCCACCCTGCCGGGAATCGCGAACGGGGCTGTGTGAGGACATCACCATACTATTTGGGCTGCTGCACGAATATGGGCCGGTCTGCATAGTGCATAAGTCGTTAAGCGTTCGCATGTTCGAGCTACTATGCGCTTCAGCGCACACCTACCCAACTACATGACCTTTGATCTCACGTGACTACAGCTGACAGTTGTCTTTAAGCGGCGGGTGGCCTCAAGGTTTTGATTCTAGATGGTTATTAATTGCTGAGAACGAATGATCCACCGACGGTAGGAGATTGAAGTGCTCGGATCACTGGACATGAATGGCCGCGAGTCGACAACGGCCGTTAATCATCGGTTGGTTTTTGGGCGGGCTCGGTCAGGGGAAGCGGCGGGCTCGGTCAGGGGGAAGCGCTGACCCGGACCGTCCCTTTGTCGTCAAGCTGCACCAATTATCCGGCCTTCAGCGGGGCCGTCAATTAAGGCGAGTGTTGTTCTGGTTCAAATGCTGGTTACCTTGGCCTGGCCGAGCCTGCAACGTGATGCTAGCTCGGGTCCGATTTAATTTGTTTTGCTGGAGATTCCATGATTCAGAGGATGTATTTTGTAAGTCTTGAATATCCGCATGGACAGTAATCGTTTGGATAAAGCGGATAAAGCTGGCAGACGACTGAAAACACTCACGGAAGTGATTGCACTGCAACCAACCCTTCAAGTTGCTGTATCAGCGAGAAAGCCCGATCTATCTTCCTGAACTGGGTCTGTCACCCCAGCTGATCCCCTCTCTCTTCTTAGCGGACGCTTGGTGCAACTGCACAGGACCTGGAAGATTCCGTCTTCTATTTCGGCGATAATCCCCGTGCGACCTTGCAGCGTACTCCAACTTTTCCGCGGGGGAGTCTGGTCTGGTGTCCAGTCTTTATGGGAGGGCGGGGAAGGTGTCAAGAAGTGATTGTGTGCGATATTGCGCCACCAGACCAGGTTTCTCCTGTGTGGCACTGACCAGCCGAAAATAGGACACTGACAAGCTCTCTGACTGTATAGGAAACACTTGACATGCACTCGTTGCTACGCTCAGTAGAGTTTTTGTCCAATGCCGTCAAACTTGAAGCAATTAAGGAAGTTCTAAATAAAGAAGTGCCGGTTCGCATCCCTGCATTCTGAAACCACATGGTTTGTTTACTTTTGGTTCCATGGAACCAGAGCATGTGAGCCGATCTAGTGCCAGAAATAGCTGTCTCTATTAGTTTTGTCTCTGTAACAATTACTAAAGCTACATTTCAAACCCCTTACTACTAATTTCTTTTTGTTAGTATTGCAGCCCCATCTGACTGTGATTGCGGAGGAGTTGCGCCGTATGTACATTCCTGTTGGTAACAAGCACGCTGTAGTGATCAGCAGACCTGCCGGAGCGCAGCATTGTCCTGTCGACCCGGTGCTGTTGGCCGCATCGTCACCGGTGTGTTTCTGGCGCCACTCGGAGCTCAGGTGTGCGTGCTAGAGAAGACGGTAGCGTGCCCAGGCGTCGTGCCGTGGCTGCTGCCGGCGGCCGGCCTGCCCGTGTATCGCGAGCCTCACACGCATGTTGGTAGACCAGTTTGGCGCAATCCTGTAGAGCCCAGACGACGAGCCTCTTCTGGCGAATGTTTGGCGCAATAATCCGACGGCTTTGCGAGTGGCCACCTCCGCATGTCTTCTCTGTGTTAGCGCACACCATGTCTGATTGGAACGACACCAGCTCTCATAAACACTGTCGTAATCGCCTTTTTAAAACCGGTGGCCTTCGTGGTTTGTGATGTTATCGACAGTGCTATGTCGCCGAGCCTTCTGATCTCACGATCACAACCTGTACCGGGTGCCGGGAGCAGCCTGAACATGTTGACCACCTGGAAGCGCCGCAGGTCTCTCCAGCGTGGACCGGGGCCGGAGTGGCGGCGGGACTCGGGCACATGTCCCTCGGTGCCGCCCACACGGCCCGGCCCGGTCAGCTCGGCCTTGTGCCGCCGTCTGCGTCCGTTGGCCTAATTGGCCGCGGCCGGTGGTCGGGCCACGTTTTTCTCCTGGGTGTGGGGAAACCGCGGGGTCACCGTGAAGCGGAGACGCCCGTGGAGCCCCTGGTCGGACCAACTGGTCGGTTGGATCGAACTGAAACGGACTGAACATACTGAACGATTTCAAACACTCGGGATACGATAGGGCTAATACGCCAAATCATGATATTGGAAACGGGTATTTCCGCTCACACTGACTGCCAGACAGATGGGTTGGTTTAATTTGACGCTATCGTGACATTACGGTCTCGGCCGATGCACCGTTCGCTCGTCCTTGCGCCGAGCGAAACTCGTCTGTCCGTTCGGTAATGCGATTCACGCTCCGCCGTCCGAAATAAGAGCGCATTAGGCCGGTGAAACGCGCCCCGTTATTTTATGCCACACACCGCGCACGCATGGTGAGATACTCGTCTGATACGCCGGTCGGGCGCTCAGAGAGCCAACGCTGGCGCCGACGGCCGACGCTCACACACGAGCTGCCTGGGTGCCTCACCTGTCGCGAGCTGTCTCACCTGTTGAGGATGGTGGCCGTCATGTTGTTACTCTCCTGCAGCCGGCTGTCCATGATCTCCATGTGTCGCATCACCATGTGGATGGCGCGCTCGATCGTGTCCACCCGCTTGAACTTGTCGTCGAGCGAGGAGATGAGCACCTCGAACATGTTGTAGAGCAGCGGGTCCCTGGAACGGAGCGGGGCGGCGCGTCAGCGACTCCGCGGCCGCCGGCTGTAGGGCAAGGTCCCTCCCCGGCGGCGCCCTCCCCGTCCCCCCCGCTCGGGATCGCCGCAGATAACGGGCGGCAGAGAGATGGGCCGCCCTCGGCGGTGGAGGCGCCTTGCGACCGGCGCCGAGCGGACCCACGCCCCCCAATATGGATGTGGTGCAAGGCGAGCAGTCACTGCAGGTGACTACAGATGTGGTTATTGTCGGGGTGGTGCCGACAGTAACGCTCCGCTGCTCACTCAACGACCTATGAACGATCGCCCGACAAGGGCTCGTCGCTTACGTCACCGAACAGGCATACATCACGAGCAAAGCTTGACGACATGAGCTACAATGTCCCGAATGCAAACAACGTGGCGTGGAGAGAACTCATCGGAAGCGAGTGTGGCGTGCGATTTATCTGGCGATGCGGTCGGCGTTCATGTTGTTAGTGGTTTAGCGCAGGCGGCGGCAGCGCGCTGGAGCGGAATCCTACCTAACCGTGGGTGTTCTGGCACTTTCGCCCTCGGCCATCGTGCCACGATCGTCATGGGAGACAGCCGGATGGGTGACAGGAGGCAAACGGGTGTTTTCAGTGCCGGCACGACACGGCTCTGGCCTCCAAACCACGAAAGCTAGTTATAATTCCCTTGATTCCCTAAATCTACTTGTTGCCCTTCTTCATGTATATCCCTATCTGTTCTAGAGATTACCTGGGTCTGTATTTTCTCGGTTCGGTGTATCTGGCGGCGGGCGTGGCCTGAGATGTTCCGGAGAAGCCGGGCCCCGCTAACAGCCCTGACCTTGGTGCCTATCCGAGGAGCGCCGCCGGGTCGGCTCACGGCCACATGTTGTGGTAAACGCGGCGTGAAGTCGCCGGATTTTCGCACCACGTGGGCCGGCGGTGCGGTGACGTCATTGAGGGGACCGCCGCAGTCAGAGGGGATTGGCGGCGCCGCTTTGGGCCTCGGTGCCTTGTAACCCGGACTGGGTCCAGCCTCCAGGGCAAGGTGGGCGGAAGGCGGGGCGGGGATGACGCCCACCGGATGGACTTTGTCTTACGAATGGCGTTCATCCTTCCTCAGTTGACGCAAAAATACCAAACTAGTTTGATCGTCGTTGAAATAAATGTTAAAGAGGTGTTATTTGTATTATTATTCATTTTATCATCTGGCTGTGAAATGTGCTTGGTTGCGCCTGAGGCTGCTTATAGGTATGCAATTCTTTTTTAAATTAAGTAGTGAAATTTCTTTTCTTATTTGAGTGATATCAGAAAAGTGGCATTCTTTATTTGAGATCTTTATTGATTTTGTTGCACGGAGCTGTTTTTTCCATTTTGAATAGTGAAGTAGGAGATTCCTAAATATGGAGCTAGATCATATTCGGCTTTTCTCGATCACGTTGTTTGCGAGTGATCGGAATGTTTTTTTTTTATAAAGCGTTAGTAAAGCACCTGAAAGCACTGGACAATTTTGCGAACAATATCTCAGCTTCACGTTTTTATCCGCGAACTTTGCTCTGTCCGCGTCACAAAAGCGGCAGCGAGCACATTGGTTAAACAGCAAAGCAAAGCGGCGCGCTCTTGCCAGAGCGGCGAGCGAATGCGGTTAGTGACAGCGTGTTGCCGGCCTGGCGCGCTGCCGGCTCGCTTACCAGATGGGACTGCTCTCGCTGATGAGCTGCGGGTTTCGCCTGAAAGGCAGACAGTCGGTGTCGGGTCAGGTCGGGTCAGCTCGGCCGGTCGGCCCGGCCGGCACCTCTGCCCAGGTGGCGTGATCGCGCTGTCTCAGAGACGCTCGTGATGACCCATCCACAGCGGGCAGAAGGAGCACGTCATGCACAACTACTACGAGCGAACTATCTGTCTAACCGTATAACCGTAGCGATCGAGGCCCGTGAGCACCACCCATCCACGTACCGAGGCCCCGAACATCACCCGACCACGTAATACAGGCTCCAACTAGGCTAACTAGCAGCTAGCTATGGGGGCGTAGCGTTCCTGCGGTCAATGTCTGCCAATATAACCACTACTGCATATCAACGACATTGTGCAACCGAGCGCATCCGCACCATATGCTACATCGCGTTGTGCAGTCATAGATTACAGTGGTACCTTATGCAAACGTTAATTTGTTAGTTTATGCAAGGTGAGTGTGTGGTGGGCGTTGAATTGCCGGTGCATGAACTATGCATGGCGGAGTATTGACATTTGTTGCATCTGTGATATCATATATCATCATGTATTACTTTATCCTAGCGTTGTAACTAATAATGTTTGGACTTATTGTAGGTTTAAATTCTTTTTGTTTAGGTATCTCTGAAAATGTCTGCCCCTCGCGGCACAATTAGTACCACCATTAGTGTTCTCTCCTTTATGCCTCTCAATCTCAATTGCTACTATGAGCATTGAGCATTGCTACTATGAGCGTGTGGTAGCAAGCTTCCACACGCCGATCAGTTGAGCTCCGCCTTGCCTCGAAGGCCATGTCAGTCATTGAGACCCAGGCAGCCGCCTAGTCACATCGGTGCAAAAAGGCTCAATGGGGCCCATCGAGTGTGCTGAATGACACCTCTCATTCGCATATCCCTGCCCAATAAACACACTGTCCGAGTGTTGGCGTCCCAGCGACATCGGCACCGGCACGGCGTCCTCCGGCCGGGTCAGTGCGGTGGCGCTGCCGGCGGGTCTGTGGTAGCAGTAGGATAGCTCTGGAAATAACGCGCGCCCAGTGTCGGTCGGACAACCGCTGGCCGTCAAACGATCGTTTTCTGGTGAATCGTGACCTGGGGAGAATGGAGCAAGGCTCCTGGATTGTACCCAATCTCGACACAACGCCATTGTGCCGAAGGTCAAAGTGATTGATAGATTTGTTCCTGTGGCAACGAAGGACATGGTTTGGTTTACACATTGGGTCGATGCTCTGTTTTTCGTCATTATGCGAAGTAGATACGAAACTGACCGATTAGGTCGATTCTGAGGAGCCACTTTTCTTGTTGGATTGAGTTGTTCATACTAATCCCCAAGTGGGAAGCCTGCCGCCGGGAGCAGCGATCGCATTATCCGCCAGTTGACCACAGAAAATGGGTCGTCCAGGCTGCGGCTGTGGACGCCTTTCCGCCTAACCGACCACCTGTATGTAGTTCTGTCGGTGAACTGGGCTGATTTGATCAGTACCTGGGTCATCAGCCGCTAAACCTCCCACCGCTGTCACCAATACCACCACCACGATCGCTCAAGTGAGGTATTTGACTGCCGAGAAGCCCCTGCGGTTCTGGATTTTTCCATGTGGAACCCGCTGTGGCACTCTGCTCTTCGCGACCGCTGGGGCGCGGTTTGTGTCTACACTCGGCTGGCGACCTCGGCGCCGCCTCCGATTCCAGGGGCCGCTCGGAGCACCGTGACCGAGTTTGTGCTGTTCGTAACTTGTCCTAACGGTGGGCTGGCGACGGCGCGACCGAGCATTGAGCAAGGGAGCGCCCGCGGTAGCCGCCCCTGTGATAATGTGTCGCGATTGGGGCTCCGCCTGTCTCCGCTGTCCCCGCCTGTCTCCGCCTCTCCCCTCCTGTCCCCGCCTGTGCCGGTGACAACTCGCCCCTCTACCACGTCGCTCCGCGCCAGTCCCGCCGCGCCGGTTCCGCCAGTGACGTATCTGTTGAGGAGCGATCCTCCCCGCACCTGTCCGGGACAGGCCGGGTGTCGACACCGCCGTCCGCTGACACCCGGAGAGCGACACGGCGTCGTGACGACGGCTCCAAACGAGCCGCGGACGCGTCGCCGGTGGGACCGGGCCGGCGCGTGGAGGACGGTCTCTGTCAGCGTGCTCAGACGCAGATGATCCAGTTTAGATTTTTTAGGGACGGGTACGGTGTGAAACTGGGGCTGCCGGACGTGCCGTGTGACCTGAGCACTGTGCATGCGTGGGAGATGCGTGTTGCCTGTGTTTTGCAATGAGCTAACATGTTCTGGAGCTGAAGGCGCAGGGGATTACACACACATTCTTTTCGGGACTTGTAGTCCATTGCGTAAACACGGTTCGTTCACCTGGTAAGGCTTCTGGCAAGCTTGCTCCCGTGTGATTTTTTTTTCTAGGTGACGTCCGTGTCTTTCACTCTTTCTATATCACAGCTGGTTTTATATTAAGACGCGCGACCGGCTTAATTATATCATTGACAGACTTGCACTTCATCCGTTTCCGATGTCGTTCTTAGCGGCTTAGTGGATGTAAATGAGCCTCATTACAACCATTCATTTGCTTATCGTGCCGGGTCTTGTATCTCGTTAGAGAAGCAGCTCCGTTCAGTGATGGATAAATGGTGGCTTGCTGTTGTGCGCGACTTGCCACCAATTGGTTCAGCGTCAGCGATGAGAAGTAGCAATACTTTTGAAGTATCAAGCAGCGATGTAGGTTTGTAGGTTGACCTCCTTGGCTGAGGTATCGTTGAGATGTGCTTTTTACTGGTGAGCCGGTGGGATCAGGGCGGCTGAGGGCTTTGCTGTTGGTGCCTGTTATTACTCCCCACCGTGTGCCCCAGGTGAGGCGAGGACAGATACCAAAGGACACGATCGGATGGAGGTGCGGTACCATCTAGGACTGACCCTCCCGCCAGGTTCTGTGGTAAAAAACCGTCGACATTTCAAATGCCCGTCATTTGTTCGTGGAAGCTTGTAGTGGAATGCCTTTGACCATAACTATAGACCACTTCTGTCGTTTGTTCTTCGGCTTTGTGTCATCTGTCCATGACCGAATGAACAAAAAATCCGGCATGGCCTCGCGAGTAAAAAGCCGATAACCGAGTGTGCCTTATGGCGGAGGCCGTGGTCAGGGGGTCACCTCTGATGTTCGCCGTGGCCGCCAGTCTGCTGGCCGCAGGCGAGGGCGGGGCACACCGCCCCCGCCCCATCTCCGCCCCGGCGGCCTCCGAGCCGTCACGTGCGGAGAGGGCCAGAGACCGGTGCGTGACAAAGGGGACCTCGGCGG